ACATTTTTGTTGCTGACTGAAATGTTTTATGACAAATATTGTTGCAGAAAATAATATAAACATGGAACTAATTAGACAAACAAATATTATTTATTACTATTATTGTTGTTTCTTTTAGTTCCTAGAGGAATGTAGGGCTTCAGCCGCACATCTCCATTGCGTTCGGTTCTCCACCAACGTTCTCACCTGTCTTCACGTCTGCCCACATGCTTTCATCTCCTCTTTGCGTGACCTCCTCCATCTCACCCTACCCTCGCAATGACGACCAACTCAGCGCTTCCCATTCGGGTTCCGCTCGAGTGATGATCTGGCATGTGATGTCACTCGGTGGCTCGTTCTCTCAGAGTATGGCCAACCCACCTCGATTTCTTCCTGCATATTTTTTGCACAATCGGTTCCTGCTGGGCTGGTTTGCTACCAGATATCCCCTTGTTGCTGATCTCTTCTGACCGGTCATCTGATCTTAAGTAGTACTAAGCGAAGACAGTTGTTGATGAAGGTCTGTAGTTTGTTCGAAGTGCCCTTCGTGACGTGCCAAGTCCCTGATGTAAACTCAATCATAACATTTGTGCCTCTCCTGTAAAACATATTTTACATAATCTTTGCGAAATGGAGGAAGCAATCGACTTGACTACTTGAAGTTATGTGCCTTTCGCAAGATCTAGACATTCGTTGTGACATGATTATAGTTACATAAATAAAAAAGACATGGTGACGCAATACTCCAGGGAAAATCTTTTACATAATTTGCCTGCCTTAACATAAAACCTGCCAGTTAGCTATTTTTAGGAACTATAAGGAATTCGTAATATCCATCGTATGCATGTTTTTGACTACACTGAAGAAATAAATACTTTTATTCTCCCATCATTTCAAGAATAATCCCCATTCAAATATTAATGAAAACATATTAGTGTATTTTGTATATGCATCGACATTCTTTACCTCCTAAAACAGTATTACCGTTTCGCCCACGTGGTTAGTCAGATTTCAAGTGACTCAGCCATCTGCACTATGTCTAAAAGTGTACACAACTGTTGTAGGTAGGTGTAGACTTCCTGGTTGGGGTCCTCGGGACGGTAAAAACCAGTGGTTAGAAACAACTGGTGATATGGCTCAAAATCTTTCTCAGTGGCGCGAATGCATCCACTTCCTGTGACTTATGATGTCCAATGAAAATGTATTGTTCTTCGTTATTACTATTCCTTTGTTCTCACACCTCTGTTTACTGTCTCCATTATGCATTTCTTGTACTTTCTTCTCTTGGTTTGTGTGCTACATGGAGTGTGGCGAATTGAACTGCCGCACATATGTGCAAAGTTCTATGTCGAAAACAGACAGACAGACACAACTGTTGAGTTTGGCTACAAACAAGTGAAACGACCATTTAGCATTCAGACTGCTTCTATCTGGTTAACAGGCATTATTGATTGACACGAATGCTTTCTGTCTACTCATATCAGTTAGTAGCACATGCCATAATTCAATCTAAAGTAATTAATTTTCTGTAGTATATTATGAAGAACCACTGAAGACTATATGGTGATAGAATTATCTTTAGAATTCTCTAAAAATTACTGGTCGTACAACATCAAGTCTTTCTCAAAAATGGTTTGTAGGGATTCCGTTTGTTTCAGGTTAGACCACAGACTTATATCAGCTAGAGGACCGTTGAGAACCAGGGAGTACTGGACAGCCGTCTCGTTGTATTTTAGGACTCATTGGTGGTACGCACCCACCGCTGGCGTTCAAACCCATGACTCACCGGTTACAAGGTAACCTTGTATGCCATTCAGCCACTGAGGCCCGTTTCAATGGCCCATGAATTCTAACTTCTACCATTTCGTGATTTTAGCGCTATCACCAACCACTTTCATCATCAGCGGGAACGCCATCCTCACTCCTGATCGGATTGACTCTACTGTCAAGACTTCTCACTAGGACTCACTGCAGACAACTTCGTCCTGTAAGCAGTCACTAGCGAACATTAGATGGATTTTCAAGAAGGTCCTAGGTTCGCAGCCCAGTGGGCTTGAGCTGATGATGATTCTCAAAGTAGGAAAAGACAGTTATTCAGTACTCCCTGGTTCTCAATGATTCTCTAACTGATATCACTCCGTGGTCTGTTTGCTGGAAAGAGGTGTAATGCCTTCTCCTAAATATAATCGGTCTCTCGTAGCAATGTCACAGTGTGATTAAAACATTTTTCAGATAAATTTAAGTTTCTCAAACTATTAGATTAAGTTGTCAAGTTTTTTTCTCACTTAGACTTTAAAAATGTAAGTATTTATCTTTTAATGGACAGCGCGCTTTAGCGTTTTGAAACGAAAGGGATACTATTACTCATTGAGAATGAAAGTACACCAAGTTAGTTTGGGCCAAACAGGCTGAAGTGTTCATCCCAGATTCCACTGCCAATCCATACCAGGAGCCATCAAGCCAACGGAGACTGAGAATTTCGGTCAGACATGATTAATCAACGCGAAAATACACAGTTCAACCTAAAAACAAGTAATGCATTCAGTTGTCACGAACCAACCAATATAGGATACAGAGATCACTGAAAACCAGTTAGAAACATTACATAGCTGTTTCATCCTGCACTTAGACTCTCAATTGAGCTCACCCATGATCTCAGCATCAGAGGCCGAACTCCAACACATTCAGGTCACGAGACTAAGCTTATTGACGACCATTCAGTCACTTAGGGTGGAATTCAGTGATCTATGTATCCTAACTTTGTAAACTCGTGACACACTATTGCCTTCATCAATGTCTTCGACAAACATCAACTTCATCTTGACATAATGTATCCCAGTGGTCACGATTTCCCATTACATATTTTCAGGAAATCCATTCAGTAGCCATCAATGACTATATAATTTGCATGGATCTGGGATTAATTTCAGCTGTTAGATTTTCTTCATGAACCAACCAACATCAGTTAGAGAGACTATTGAAAACGAGCTAGGAGCACTAAACAACTAACTGTTTCGTCCTATTTTAGGACTCCTCATCAGTTTATGCCCACGATCTCACCCCTCTCTCGTCAAGGATCAAACACCAGCACTATCAAGATACGAGACTATTCAGCAACCACTTCGGTTAGATTTCAGTGACCTCTGAATTTTAACAATGTTATCTCGTGATATACCGCTGCCCCCCCCCGAATGCCTTCTGTCGACACCTATATCTTCCCGACATGGTGGAACCCACTGGTCACAGCTTCAAGAAATCCATCTAATGGCCATCAGTGAGCTAGTGCTGGATATTCAGACTGTAGAATATGTAGAGATTTTGAAGTAGCTTCAGCTGTGAGATTTTCATCAAGAACCAACCAGCCTCAGTGGCAGAGACGGCTGGAAACCAGTCAGCAACACCACTTAACCCTTTAGTCCTACTTAGGGATTCCTCAGCGGTACACACACACACACGACACCAACAAAGACTGAACTAGATGGATTTCCTGATCAATGGGAAGTCATCACAAACGGCGTCCTCCATATCAAGATGGAGTGGATGCTCATCAAAGGCACTACTGAAGATAGTGCTGTGTCACGAGTTGACAAAGTTAGAATTTAAAGATCACTGAATTCTCGCACAGGTGTCTGAATAATAGTCAACGAGCTTGGTCTCATAAGATGAAGGGCACCGGTGTTTGATCTCTTGTATGAGGAGAGGGAAGAGTTGTAGGTGTGCACTTCTGAACAATCCCCAAAACTAGAACAATACAGCTGTCTAATGCTCCCAGCTGGTTTTTTAATGATCTCTCCAACTCATGTTGATTGGTCCATGTCGAATATCTAACCACTGAAAATAATGTTGTTATAAAGAAACAGTAAGTCCTTTCAATAGATAATTTCTTAATAATTCTTCTATACTCTCCCTCTTAATAGTATTTAGTAAATAATGAATTTAGCTTCTTATCCAATCATATTTACAAGCAAAGTTAATTTATCTCTATTGTCTCCATACGCATATATATATATAATATACACTGCATACCATACTAACACTATCAACTGACTTTTAATTGGCTGAAACCAATTGGCTGTTCTTTTCTATATTATCAAACTTCAATGACAGTCAATTAGGTTAGGCTTTTTCTAGTGAAAAATAACTGTGACGTGTATGAAAATGAAAATGAAATCTCCTTAACAGATGTGTGTGTGTGTTTACATGTGTGTATATGCCTTATCCTACTGTATGCGTGTGTGTGTGTGTGTGCGTTCAGCAGCATCTGACTGACTGCTGAGTTAGGCAGGTAGGTAGGTAGGTAGGTGGGTAGCTAGGAGATAGTGGGTAGGCGCTAGCCATCACATTTCCTTCTCCATCTTTCTTACCTCCCTCACTTACAAATAAAAGGCAAATAGACAAATTTTCATTATCTATCTATGTGTGACCAGCCTATAATACTGAGAAAAATTCAGAAAAAGCAGTAACAAAAAATATAATACCCCCTTCATTATACACTGAAGAGAAATTCATCTACTGTGTGTGTCAGGAAAGAGAATAGTATCAATCAAAATTGCCACCACCACCAACAACAACAACACCAACACCCAACATCTTCATTACACCCTTATTTCTATCATCATTAAACCCGGAGAGGAGGACTTAATTCTATTCCCAACACAATCATTACGTGAGAAGAAGACGACATTCGCGTAAGCATTTTTATATTATGTGATGCGGTGGGGTGTTGAAGAAGCTCACACGAAAATAAACAATGAATGAGCGCTTATTTATATTAAACAGTCGCTAATTTACAACTGGAAGATTTCGACTACTGAAATTATTGCGAAAAATTAACAATATATATATTATTAACCAGTAATTGATAAGTAATATATGTACTTATTTATATAAAAGTGGAACTCGTAACACAACACACCTGATGAATTATGAATGAGGAATTAAATAACAACGATAATAATAATAATAATAATAATAATAATATATTTTATGCACAAATACTAATGATTTCTTACAGTCTGCAGTGGAATCCGATAATCTCTGGAAGAATTCAATTGGAAGTAATACAAATCCCCTAACATCTGAAACAACAACTGTACCGGTATCATCCCCCCGACCTTCTTCGTCTGCCGCTTTTGGTCATCCCTCGGAGAGTAAATCTTCCAATTCTATAACAAATATAGAAATGGCTAGTATATTCGCTGAAATGAATAAATCTATGATGAATAATACACCGCATGAAACCGACGCCAAAGAGTCCCTATGTTCTTCTTCTATGGTTGAAAAACTTATAAAACAATCGGATAATTCAAATTATTATTCCGCATGGCAAACATTTTTAACACATTTGATGCATAATAAATCATCTACTGAGGAAGAAATAAAAAGTAATTTAGAAGAATTCATAAAGGATTATACTCTGTCAACAACGTCTTCTTGGTCTTCTTCTTTGTCAACCAATTCTAATGTACATATGAATTCAATTACTACGGCATATTCTAGTGGTACTGGTTCCACACCTGCAGGTAGTGATAATTCAACACCGACTAAACGTAAAACAGCCTACGGAATACGTGATATTCTTGGAGATAATCATAAAGACGATGTCAGTGGGTTAAGTGATGATAAAACAAGCAAAACCAGGCATGTACAAGATCCATCCTCAAATAATAATGAAATGGATTATAATAAATTGAGTAAACTGTACTCCACATGGTATACAACATTGAACTCTTTAACAAATATATCTGATCGGGATGGTATGCATCAATCCACATGTCAAAATAACACCCTACTTGAAGCCTTTACAATGTTATCATCAAGTGTAAATCATCCAAGGAACTTGTTAAATCTTTCACAAATGAATATAGAATGACTAGTTCGTATGATCAGCCACCTCTTTCATCATTGCAATCAAATCGAAATCTGAATTTGCACCCTCTTGACTATGGTGTTCTTTCGAATGAAAATGTTAAAATTCAAGAACAACAAAGTCAACACCATAAAATGAAATCGAATCATAACCGGCTGGATACAAATTTATCGAAACAAATGTCACCGTTAACAAATGAACAACCGCGACAACATCAACAACAACAACAGCAGCTATCTCATATGATAAATTCTTCCCAGACAAAATCATCATCATCACCGCCATCTTTAGCGAAAAAAGATGAAGAAAAACCTGCATTCTTAGAATTTTTAAGTAAACGCTATTCATCAGTTGACTGTGAAAATTTTTCAGTATGGCTGCAGCTACTGCGGCAGTCGCCGCCGCTGCTTCTTTAACAAACATTCGCACCCCAATGACAACACCGACGATGATGATGAATCTACATCATCAGTATTCGCCAAATCTGTATGATCCATTAAATTTATTTCAAAGCCAACACAATAATAATAATAACACACCCTTTAATACACTGAATGATAACAGTAATAACGCGAGTCATCATTCAGTGCAAATGCTTTGAATCCTTCATCATTTTGTTCAAATTCAAATAATTTTCATATTCCTATTGGTTTACCAACTGGACATATAAATAATAATAGTACAGTTACTTCTACACCTGGACACCAACGCTTATCATCACCGTCTTCTTTATCCCCAACGACATCTACAAATGTCAGTACAGGAAATGGAGTAAATCCGTCTAATCCATGGATGAAAGCAAATGGTAAGTAATCTTATATGTGTTTTCTGTCTTTATACTTGTATCAGTCAATACATCGAAAGAAAATTTTAGCGAGTTCATATTGGATTGAAGTGTTCACTCTTGGTTGACATGTCAGCTCCTACCTAGTACGGGCGCTTCGATAATGTCTTTTTGCCAACTAGGAGTAGTCTCTTGGATGCACATTTCGTCCTCTCTGAGACTCGTCAAGTGAATGTAGATGTGCTTCCAGTGAGTTGAATATTTCCACCTTGCAGAAAGCACCTTATCGTCTGAAATGATGGGTCCGAATTCCTGTCTCAGAAGGAACACTATCACTCACTAGGGATGAAAATACATCCAACCACTAAGTCCCAAATAGGGGGAAAAGTGTGTATTGAACCCCGTCGGTAATTACTACGTAAATTACAATATCGTTATAAGCCTTATTTAATAGGCGTAACACTTCATACTCGAGAGTTACTCATTTAATCATTTTGAAGTACGACTGATCTTCAGGTACTCGTGTATCGGGGAAAATTCAAACTTTTGACAAATATACATATACATTTCCTTTCATGAAATGTTAAAGAATCTATCTGTTGTGTGTAAACTGTTTTAAGTCAAAAAAAGTTGTCTACCTTGTAGGTGTTATCACTTGAGCTAGGTTTTTATTCCTTATTACTTGAAAAACTGAGTTGAAATAAGAATATTCTGAAAATGGAACTTTTCATGCTGAAATAATTCATACTAGTAATGTGAAGTACCGTCCATGCTACATTAATTAAAAATTCTAAAACATGAACATTCTCTTTTAATTTGTTCTAGTAGTTTAGAATAATATATATCATTTAATAATATTCCCTAGGATTCTGAGTAGAATTTAAGGTTTCAACCGAACCTTCCCATTTTCTCTGGCCCTATGCAGCTATCTTTAGTTTGCCCCACGATTTCCCACAGATTTTTCATTCCTTCTTTACACGATCCCTTTCATGTCACCCTAGAAGTGACGTTCAACTCATCGTTCCTCATTCAGGTTCCAATTGAGAGAAGCATATAGAAGCAGTGACTGGTACAACATTGGTGTTGAAAATCGAGATCTTGCGGTTTGTGCTGAGTGCAGAAGGTTTCCACATTGATTTCAGAGTGATGAAGGTGTACCTTTACTTTCCAATTCTGCATCTAGTTGAAACGACGCTGACTAGATAAATGAATGAAGTGACCTCATTCACACTTCTGGCGCTGATAGTGATTGGTACTAGCTGTTGTGTCTGGGTATCTTCATGAGCTCCATCTTTTTATGTTCATTAGAATTCCTGCCTTGCTACCAGCGTCTTCTGCCAAATTTTTAGTTTTATCCAATAAGTCTTAGAGTTTATGTAACATTAGGAATAAATCGTCACTGAAGTCCAGATCTTCTAGAGTCTTCTTGTCGGTCAAATGTATCCTTGTCCTTTCGTCTCTCCCCACAGTCTCCTGCATGATCCAATCTACCACAGTTGGAAATATTACCAGTGACAGTAGGCGGCCTTTTCTTACTGCTGTCTTCACTGCAGTCGTTTCACTGAGTTGTCCGCTGTGAATCACTTGGCATGTTACAATGTCATACAGCTTCTGAATGAGGTTGATAAAGATTTGGGGCACTGTACTCCATAGTGTTGAAACAGTTTTCAAAATAAGTTATATATGTCCAAACCAAGTTCACTTTTAATAGTCTGAAAAGATTTAGGGACCGGGTACATGATATTCATTATTATAAGAGTTTTTACATTTCCCAAAGAATGACAAACAAAACGATATTGTTTCTACTGATGGTTCGCTAAATAACATGTTGTTTTGTTTTTCATTCATTGGAAATACAAGTTACTTGACAGTCAACGCTGTCAAAAACCTTTTCAATGTCAATAAAATAGAAAGAGAATGGACAGCCATTCTATACTCTGTTCAGTGGTGATGCATAGAGTTGAGAATTGATCAGTACATGATTTGCTTTTCCTGAATCCAGCTTGTTCCAGACGGGGTTCTGCATCCAATGCGTCTTTTAGTCTCTCCAGGATGACTCGACTTAATACTCTGGTTGGTGTGGACAAGAAAATCATTCTGCACCAGTTCTTGCAGAGTCCTAAAGTTAAGATGCGTTAAATTAATATAGATGCAAATATAAATAGTTGCTTTTTATGCAGAAGTATGCCGATGAGAAGTACCTGGACTTTGAATGAAAACGCCGAGTAGTTTTCTTTGTTCTTCATAGTATCTATCTAACTGCATCTGGAATCCTCCAAAGATAAAAATCCCAATCTCTGGAAAGACTGACATAAAACAGCGAAGTTGTCATGAGAACTGGATATTCAGGCTTCAAAAGTGCTATTAAGTGAAATATCCCCAGAAATAACACCTTTAATGAAAAATTAAACTGCGCTTTATTTTCTTTTATTACCTTATTCTGCCTGTCAATATATACATTGGTCGATTCCTTAACTTCAAGGAGGGTAGAAAACTACTAGCCTAATATTCAGTTGACCTGGATATGCCCACAGACTTAATTTCAAAAAAAAAATGTGTACTACCCCATATATTTATCCGCCTTTATGAACTTGAATAAAGCAAATTTAACGGTTTGTTCAGGATAAGACCATACCATTATCTGTTTCCCTGGATTCTCATCAACTGCGTACAACCTAGAAAATTACTCAAGTAAGGAGAAATTTTAAGGTATCTGCATTTATATACAGCTTAGACATAGAAGAGTCAAGCTGAAACATAACAAAGTCAAAAAGGAGAAATGTTTGGATGTTAGTGGAAAAGGAGTTGCATAATAAAGATAAGAGGCAGATAAGATGATATGATGCTGAGGAGTCCCAAACTAGGACGAAACAGCTGTCCAGTACTCCCAGGTTTTCCAGTGGTTCTCTAACTGATCTCAGCTCATGATTAAATCCTCCATGCAATCAAACAAAATCCCTACAAAAAACCAATACTTGAAAATTCATCTGATGCTCACTAGTGACTGGCCCTATTCAGGCAGTTAACCTGGGGTTCTAGTGGGAAGCCGTGACCAGTAGGGTACAGCAGGTCGAAGTTGAGGCAGTAACTCATCGAAGAACACATTGCGAAGTGGTCGCGCTATGTCGTGAACTGGCAGAAGTTAGAATTCAAGGACCATTGGATCGGGTCCCAGTGGCTCAATGGTCTACGAGCTCGCCTTGTAACCAGAAGGTCCTGGGTTCGAATCCCGGTGGGTGTGTACTGCTGAGGAGTCCCAAACTAGGACGAAACAGCTGTCCAGTACTCCCAGGTTTTCCAGTGGTTCTCTAACTGATATCAGCTCATGATTAAATCCTCCATGCAATCAAACAAAATCCCTACAAAAAACCAATACTTGAAGATGATAAGTGACTAATAAGTGTTGTAACAATGTGGTGAGCTCAATTCGGATCAGTAATAACAAAAGATATTACGCTACCGCAGGAGGGAAAATGTTTAAAGTCAGAGGCTAAGTAATTGATCAAAATCTCCTTTTTAATCACTTTCGTAAAGACTTGAGCAAGGAAAGATGGGTAGCTGCATCTTCCTGAATGCATAGATCGTATCCAACTCCTGTCTTTATTACACAACTCTTTCTCCATTATATTTAAACATTTATCTTTTTTGACTTTGTTTTGTTTAAACTTGAGTCTTCTGTATTATAAGGTACATAAGAGTAATTCTTGAATGCTGTTCTTATGAATTTCGGAGTTTCCTGTCAAGCAACATCAGTGCCACCTTTGCAAATACCTTAAAATTTCTCTACACCTGACTAATTTTCCGGGTCGTAGACAAATGACGAGAAGCCGACAAAATAAACAATATTACCTACCTATTCTACACAAACCGCTGATTTTGTTTTATTCAAAGCGTACTACATGTGACATGATCACCTGGTTACAAGTCGTGTATTGTAGCTCTTTTAGTAAAGCCCTGAACTAGTAATTCCAAGATTGATAATTCTGGTCCTACTGCAACGCAAATTTTCATTTTGAATCACGGGAGACGATGAATAAATTATTCATTTTTGAGGATTGCCTTCTGTAGCTGCAAATCTTCGAAAACTTAGAGTGTACATTTTGCCTAAATTAGTATTTCTTATTAATACACGAAATCAGATTTGATTAAAATCTTATCCCATTCAGTAGATTAAAAAAAATACGTGGTGGCTATTTAGTGGCTATCAGGAGAATTCGAAATACCCCATTTACTCTACTTTGAACATAAAGTATGCAAGTAGATAATTCCGATGACACCCTGATACAAACAGTATGTTGTAATGGAGCCCATTGAAGACAAAATGTGAGTAAAACTCGATTTTTGCACTATCAAAAGAATACTATTAATTGGCTGACATGAGCCATTATCAAAGAATATATAAATGAACGTTAATTAATTTAGTCATTACTGAAGATTAGATGTCCGACTAGAAAATATAAGCAACAAGGAACTCTGACGTCCAACCAACCATGAATCTACTGCCTAACAAATATGTAGAAGAAAGTGGGCATGGATCAAGTACACACTGAGAAGACCGTTGAGTAACATCTTGGGCCACACCTTTGCTCTAGTGGAACTCGAATAGGTAACGATGAGTTGGGTTAGAGTGTCAAGATGATATGGTGGAGATCGTGTAAGGAAGAGATGAGAGTTTATGGGCAATCTTAGGGTCAGTTAAAAAGAGACCACAGGAAACAGAAAGAAACGGAGGTGTGTTACTGAGGCCCTACGTTCCAACTCAGAGCTCAATAGGATAGAAGTAATGGTAATCATAATTTAGTCAAGTGTCACATAAGATTGAAAACCGAGGAAAGATATTGAAAACTGAGAATTAATTAGGCAAATTGTTATTGTTTGAAACACATAATAACTCTAGTGGAATTCAGCACTATTGAATCTGAAATATTTTTTTATGAAATTAGAACAATAACCGGGCACTGATATTTAATTGAAATGTGTGTACTAAGTTTATTTCACTCATTGTCTTTTAGATGAAGCTA